TGACCAGTTTTTCTGTAGGTTAGGACATCTAGCAAAAGTCAAACCACAGCCCAAAGGAGATTATAGTGGGGGTTTTTCACTCCGCAGGCTGGTGTTTGCAGAGTGAAAGCCCCCTTACTACCTATGCAGTCACATTTGCCACATACATAGGTCCCACCCCTGCCCCACACCTGCATCAGGTTGGTATTTTTTCTCCCTGGGCATATGTCACAAAGGAGTGGTGAGTAGGGCACTTACATTTTGTCACCCAGCTTCCTCTCTCAACCAAGTATCTTGTGAACTGATTAATCCATTGGTCCAAATGGAATTTAAAAAGTCTTCTTTCAAGTTTTCCTGAAGGTTTCAGGAAGACCACCAGTCCAGGTGATATCCTTCTTCCATCCCATTTCAGGATCCCTGGGTTATGTTAAAGTCAAGGTAAAGGGAAGATTCTCGGAGGAATAAGGCAGCGTGGGAGGCAGGCAACTTCAGGATGCTGAGCAAGCATTTCTAATAATACTTTTACGTGGCACTTCATAAATGCCAAAGTTGTTCTGCAACACATTAGGGCCCGGTTTTTGGTTCAAGTAGTGAATATGATTGAGAAAATATGTATGACTTTGACCTCTACGTCAACTGAATGAGGTAGATGGGAAGAGTATTATCCCCGTTACAGGAAGAAAACAGGATCAGAGAAGTGCAGGGACTTGCCCAAAGCTTAAGTGGCAGGAAAAGCTAAAACTGGATCTTCTGGCTGCTGGCCTCTCAGGAAACACAGCTTTAATTCTTCCTCTGCCGCCATGAGGTTCGACCCCTACCTAATATCTCGTGTCCGCAGTGAAGTCTTCAGCTGGAACATACGCAAACTGGGCCCAACAACAGTTTGGCTCTGATTAACCGCGGCCCAGGAACCGGGCTGAGCAGGTAGCCTAAGCGACCAAGTGTGTGTCTCAAGGAGCTCCGCCCGGTTGGGGTGGGGCCTCTGCCTCGGAGACCCTTCCCGAAAAGGATGCGGCAGCACTGGGCTCTCTCACCCAAGGCGGGGCCGCAGCACGTCCCTGCGGCTCGAATCCCAGGGACCCAGGTGGGACCCGGGCTGCGCAGCATTTGAGACGCCGTAGGGTCTCCAGCCCGCAGGAGGCCGGAGCTGGCCTCCTGTCAGCCTCTCTAGCGCTCTCACACGCCGACGGCTGGATGCACCCTCCGGGCCACTGTACCCTGAGCGAGCATCCCCGAAAGCGGGACGCCAGCCTCGGCGGCATTCCCGGACACGGCCGCCGAGCAGCGCGCTGCACCGCCCGCGCCCGCAGGCTGCCGGCTCTTTCTGCGCCTGCGCGCGGAGCTTGCGCACTGGGCAGGGAAACCGTGGGTAGGGCAGGGCCAGGTGGTCGGGGAGCGTAATCCCCCGGCAGCTGGTTTCCTAAAAGCCGGCGGGCAGGGGAGCGTTGTAAGCCACCAGCGTCCGGAGGGCGACACTGCCAGATACCCTCCCTGCCTCGGGGCTCCTTGTGCAACGCTTCGGGTCTGCGGATCCTGTCGGTGCGGACAGGACATGGAGTCTTGGCGCCTCTATGGGCAGGATTCTCGGGGACGGGCTGGGAAATGTGGGAGCCGTGGTGTCACCTCCCCAGATGGGGGCCCTTCGGTGACGTCATAGGATACGTAAATGAGAGACATCGTGGATCTCTGACTTGCAGGAGGCTTTTGCAACGTCTCCCTGTCAGAGAGAGGATGCCGAGCCGTCACAGCGCCATAGAGCCCTGGGAGTCACAAGGATGGGACGCCTATGAGCCGACTCCAGAGACACCGAGATCCCTCTGGGGGAAGAAGGGGAGTTATGCTATCACAGGTTCCACGTTCTAGGATCCGAAGTGTCGTCGAGAAGCCCCAGACCAGCCCACTGCGTCCCCCCCCCCCCCCCCAGGGCCCTATCGGAGTCCTTAGTCCCGCGCGAGGAGGTCCGCAGGAAAACGTCCCTTCGTGCCCCCTCCCCCAGCCACATTCCGGAAGGAGGAGGTGGAACCTGAACTTCTTCCAACTAGGGCGAAGCCCCTACGGGCTATTCTTTCCCCGGGTCGCTCCGGATCTTTTGCCAGAGCAGCCCCAGGAACCTCCAGGCTGCGCCGAGGGTCTCTCGCGCCTTCTACCCGTCCAGCAGAGAAGTCCAGCCGGTAGCTCCCCACCCCAGCCAGGCATAGGAACCGCAGGCCTAGCAACTTTGGGAAGGACCCCAGCTGAACACTAGCGTTCCTGAGCCAATGGCCTCCTTCGCTGCTCCCCAAAACCCGCCCTCAGACAGTGGAGGCAGGGGAGGGAGGTGGTGGAATGGGACTTTCTAGGGGTGTCGTGGGGGGGGAGTTAGCTCCTACTGAGTGGACGGGTAAGAAAACCCACCCAACATTTTTGATCCTCTCATTGCTGTTTTCATGCGCCCCACAATGAGTACAAGCGGCAAAATGCGCCAACCACGTCGCCCAGCAATCGTAGCCTGTGTGGGGTCTGGTGACCCACGGCCTCGTCTGCCCCTTTCCCTTGCAGTTGCTGCTTCTGCACAACCTATATAATCACTGTCAGAAGTACCGCTGAGAAGTGGCCCTGGGTCCCCCAGCACGACTGCAGGCGTGGGGGGAGCGAGCCAAGGCAGAGGCCTTGTGAACGGTCTGGACATCCCAGCAGCACCCTGCCCCACTCCCTACCGCCCCCTGAAAACCCTGCCCTGGAAATCCATTCTTCCAAGGATGCACATTGGTATTGAAAGTCTCTCCCTTGCAGGGCCTAGAGTTAGGATGGGGATTCCTGGTACCAGGAGTGGTGTGGGCCAGAAGGAAAAACCTCCCCCTTCACTGCCTTTAGGAAGCCTCACCTCAGAGGCAGTAGGTGTCCCAAGGGGAGTGGGGGATGGAGCAATGTGGGGGAGGAGTGGAAAGTCCCTGGGAAAGATGGAATGCCAGGAGAGCAAACGGTGAGTGGGGCGCTCTCTCAGGTCCTCAGCTGTTCCCAAAACTCTCAGTGCAGCCGTGTGTGTGTGTGTGTGTGTGTGTGTGTCCTCGAACTCTTGATGTCTTGGAACAACCAAATCCCCCAATCTTATGGGATTAGTTAAGGAACTGAGGTGGCTCCTACCATCAACTTTATCACAAGCCATGGCCAAGGGAAGACCATACCACTGCCTGCACTGGCTGGGCCCCAGCCATCAAAACCCAAACCCACTGACCAACCCCTCCATGCACCCAGAGGTCACAGTTGTCTGGAACCTGGGCTCCATTCTCGCCTGGGACGGGTCCTTATGGACCGTGTGTGGAAGAGGGTTTGGGATTTTGCCTAACTAGTCCAGCTCCTATAGGCCAGTGCAGACCCGGCAGCGCCCTACCCCTCATTCGCAGGGGGCTCTGGGACCGGACAAGAAGGTTTTGACCTGTAGGAGCAGCCAAAAGGAGCTGGGGCCCAGAGTCACTCTGAGTTGTGGGCGGGACACAATGAGGTGCTTGGAGTCCTGGGCCGCCCCTCCAGGCATGTCCAGCAGGGGGCAGCGCGGCTGCAAACGCGGACGGCAGGGCTAATCTGTGAATCTGCATTGGCCAGGCTGAGGCCACAGGGACAAATCGGGTTCCCAAACCAAGCAGTCCCTGCCTGCACAGGGCCGAGAGGCAATCCCAGAGGAGGTGGGGGTGGCGCAATGAGAGGCTAAAGCGCTTTAACTCCGACAGCCTCCACCCGCTTTCTCTGGCCTCGGGGTCCTGCCCAAGGCTGGGATTTGGGGTTCTTATTACTGGGAAGCTCGACCCTGCCGTGTCTGAGGCCACCGAGTGCAGGTCACAGTAGCCGGGGAGCCGCGCTCAGCCAGAGAAAGGCTGCGGGCGCCCCCGCCTGCACAGCCCCCTCGGTCTGGGCCCTGGAGCTGGGGGAGCCCCGCCCCGCCCCAGCAGGGGAGCCCCCAGGGGCCTGGCCTCTAATTGTGGGAAAACTAGATGCTCCCGGGAAGGTTCAAGTTGTGGAGGGCGGACTCAGATTTCTCCTAAATTTCCCGGGCCTCCCAGGACGCCCACCCCCGCCATTCCTGACAAAGCTTTAAAACAGGGAATCTTCTCAGGCGTGGACTTCTGTCTGGGGAATCCTAAGCGGGGAGGGATGTAGGTTAGGGGGCTTTGGTGAGGCGGCGGTGATAATGCATTTGAAACTGGTATTGGGGCCCTGGGGACCGGACAGTTCTAGTTTGAGGCTGTGTTCCTGGGCCCGTCCTTCCCACCCCAAAGAAGAAGGGGGGGGCTTTAATTGGGGGAGGTGAGTGACATTCTGTTGTTCCCTTAGTGGACCCTAAATTACTCTGGCACCAGAGATGTGGCATTTCTCACGGCTGATATATTGGCCTAAGCCTCGGCTTCTTTGTAAACTCAAAGCCCTCTGGAGACAAGGAGTGGGGAGACTGAGACCCTAAGACCAAAGTGGAGGAGAAAAGTAAGAAAATAAATATAGGCTGGGGTCCGAGGTAGACCAATACCGGGACAGAGGGTGTCTCCACCCGTTCCTTCCCTAGCACCTCAATAAGGTGGAGGTTCCGACAGTGGGACAGGCTGGAGTCCGCAGAGAAACTTGCTCATCTCAGAGAGAGGTGCTGCCCGTTCCCTGTGTTTAGGAGGGAAATTATCCATCCTGCAATGCCTGTAAAATAACCGTTTATTTCATATTTTAAAAAACTCCAGTGATAAATGTCCGTTACCGATGGTCAGCATAAAGTGCCAATCGCAATACAACGCCCCGCTCCGAGTTGGCAGCGCGCTCAGGGAGACGGGCGGCAGCGCAGGGGGAGCCTGAGGCCAGGCCCCCTCCAGCCCCAGGGCCCCTGGCCCCTGGCCCGCCGACCCCGTCTGGGAGCCCGGGCCGCAGCGCAGCGGGAGCTGGGAGCGGGCGCGGCCGGGTCCCTGGCCGGCGCTGAAGCAGATACACGGATTACACTTTTGCAGGCTCCCGGGGGTGGGGTGGGGGAGGGGGTCTGGAAGCTGCGAGCACACAAAACTTCTTTTCCTCTCCCCCGTTTCTCCGCAGTCAGAGTTACAAGCTTATATGGTCAAAGAAAAAAAAATAAAGAAAACGTATAAAATAACAATAGAAAAAGTAATACTTCTGGGAGAGGCGCCTCTGCGGCTCCACGGAGAGCTTTCATTCTTCTTCTTTTTTTTAATGCAGTTTCCCTTCCGCGCCACGTGAGTACCGCCTTTTGGCCAAGAGTTTAGCCTCGTCCTGGGGGAGCCGCTCTGGCGGCGGGGTCATGGCCCCGGGCGGGGCTCCGTAGTTCTGCATGCGCCCAGGACCCAGGGGACATTGTTTGGGACCAGGGAAGGTCCGGGAACCCCTCCCGCGGTCCGAAAGAGTCGCCTTTGGGCTTCTGGTCCCTGTGGAGGAGGAGGCAGCTTGACCCAGGGTCCTGGTGACCAGGAGGCTCCATTTAGCATTTGATCTTGGAGGTTTTGAGCTCCTTCACCTGTGAGTGTAGCGTCTTGTGGACAGCGAGAGTCCTGGACTGGCAGAATCCTTTCCCACATTCTTGACACTTGAAAGGCTTTTCTTTGGAGTGAATATATCTGAGGACAAAAACAGACACGGAATTAATTAATCCTTGCAAAACGATGCAATGTTATAGACAGCTGCTCAAGATCCCCTGCCACTGTTTTGAGGCATTTGCTTCCAAAGAAAGGGGGCGGTGGGGTACCTAGTGTGGAGCTGGCAAAATACTGAGTTTGTGGATGAAGCAGGGAGGTGAAAGTGAGGCTTGGACAATCTCTGGTCCTCAACATGTTCAGCCAGGCCACCCGCCTGCCTCCCTGAGGAGGAGCCAGCATGGCCTCCTTACAAGGCCGGGGTCAACACGGAAGGTGAGTGAGGGGACCTGGGCTAGGGCAATTTGTTGGAGCCGCACTGTGCAACATGGTACCCACTGGCCATGTGTGGTTATTAAAATTAAATAAAACGTAAAAGTTAGTTTGTCAGTCACACTCATTCCACATTTCGAGTGCCAGATTGTCACATGCATCCCGTGTCACTCGCCATTATCAAAGGAACTTGTATTGGACAGCGCTGCTGACGGAGGAAGGATACGGGAGTTATGTGTACTTGTCTGGCGCTCATGGAGACCTGACTTACTCTTAGGTCTTATTTATCCCCGTTCTCCCCACTCATGCTCCAAGAACTGATCTCTAAGCTTTGTATGGTTTCCTTCTCGATTTTATTGTATTCCCCAAAGCTGGGGAGCCAGTAGTGGGGGGGTCTCAAGAACCTCTTCTTTAGGGGGGAAGATGGTGAGGACAGAGGCAGACAGGCAGCTCTTTCTAGGGCCACCCATAGTGCCGCACCTGTGGTCTCGTAGGTGGTCTTGCCTCCGGAAGGCTTTGTGGCAGATGTCACAGGTGTAGGGCCGCTCATCTGTGTGCGTCCTCTCATGGATAAGGAGGTTGTAGGATTTAGTGAAGTGGCGGCCACAAAACTTGCAGACGAACTCCTTCTTGGTCTTGGAAGGCAGACGTCCTCTCGTGGGCTTCTTTTCTGGGGACAGCTTGGTCACATCCAGGAGGGCGCCCAGCCCACCAGCGGGGGAGCCGGGACCCTCCCCCCGGCCAAGCTTGGACGGATCTTCCTGCGTGGCTGCCAAAGCCAGGTTTGCAAAATCAAAGCGCGGCTTGGTCTTGAGCGCTGCGGGGCCGCTGCCTCCAGCGGTGATCTCCGGCTTGGGCTGGATGACGTGAGGGAACCAGGGAAAGGCAGGCAGCTGGAAGCGGGCGTCCACCAGGTTGGACACAGCTCCTGGCACTTTGGAGAAAGAGGATCTGGGCAGGTGCATGGCCGGGTAGCCCAGCGTCCACTGGTGCAGGTGCACAGCGTGCAGCGCACTGAAACCATACAGATTGGGCAGGTGGTCCGAGGGCACCGTGGGCAGGCCGTTGACTGCCTGAAGGAAGGAGTAGTTGGTGAGCTGCAGGGAGGGATGGATGGGCACTGGCGCGGGCAAGGTTTTGCTGCCCATTGTGGTAGTTGTGGTGGATTCTCAATCTGGATCTGTGAAGAAAAGAAGGGAGTGGGGAAGGGAAATGTTCAGGGTAGATCGTCCTCCTTCTGAATTCCAGCCCAGCTACACCCTTTCTGTCCCCCAGAGCAGGAGCTGGAAGTCTAAAACACCACCCATGAAACCCACTGACCTCAAAAAAAAAAAAAAAAAAAGACAGAAACACTCTCTGGTTCCCACCAAATAGCCTCTGGCAGAGACACACAATTTGGTACAGAAACCAGCAAGAAACCAAATCCAATGCAATGAAACCAACTTAAATGAAGGACTATGGTATACCTGACACTGAGACAGGCAGGCACACTGGTGTGCAGAAACTTTTATCCACACAAGCTTGAGTCAACACAGAATTACACTGTCCTGCAAAGACAACAGGATCTCAGAAGCACACTTACATATTCATGTGCAAATAAACACAGAAATACACACGGACAGATCCACACTGTCTGAAACAGGGTTGACAGTGAGGTGTGGAGATTAAGTAGAGTGACCAGTGTTCTGCTACAAAACAAAACACAGACATATATGCAAGGGGTCGTGGAGCACTGGTGACGAGCCTTCCAGAGAGACAGCACACACACAAACTCACATAAGTTCATACATCTCCTGGCCCCTGTGCATTAAGGTCTACTAGCTGACTTTTAATTTGGCCTCTGGCAGCCATGTCATCTTTCTCCTCAAAACTCTCAACTTTGACCACAAATTTGCTTTTCTGGCTCACTATTAAGGAGCCCTGTTGATAACATCTCTCTGAAGCTGTTTGTGGACTGAGGTCCTTGGGGATCACCTTCATTTCAGGGAGGACACTGACACTCATCTGCATCAGCCCAGTCAAACATCTGCAGTTGCATACAAGGGGACTTCAGTGCCCTCCCTACCCCATAAAAAGGGGGGTAGGGGCTTTGGGGTCTCTGGATGTTTATGTGTGTGAGGAGCCCTGGGCAGATGGGTATGCCTATGGGCAGCAATGAGCATGAAGGCCTGTCTCAGCTGCTATAGTCTAGCCACCCTCCAACTACAAGGCTAGGGAGCTTGAGCCGGCCAGAGGGGAGTCATGCTGAAGTGACCAACAGGCTGGCATCTCCCGGCCTCTTAGGTCAGGGTCTCCAGCCTCCACAGACAGGTTTGCGCTCTGCAGAGAGGCCTTTATCTCTGTCCTTCCCAACACTTAGGTCTGTCTAGTGGAAGCAAAAACAAGAACGAGATCTAAAAGTACACCCTCGAGGAGGCTCAAGTGCTGAACTCTCTGGGCTTCTCGAGGAGAAGTTATTGTGGGAACAGGGTGCTGGGGACACCTTTCTCCTTTGCCCCTCTCAGTCCTCCGCTGCCCACCTCCTTCTCCCTTCTCCGTCTTCTCTCCCCCAGATCTCTCCTCTAAAGGGCAGTGAGCCCCTGCCCGGAACTGGGGACACTGCTCTGCTTCCTCCTTCAGGGCACACACTGACCAGTCTGCGCAGGCAGCTCCCAGCCCAGCCGCCCTGGTCCAGGCACACAGGCTCCGGCCTAGACTCAGCCGCCTTTCATTGCAGCGAAGCCTGTAATGAGACGGCAGAGCCGGCCTCGTTGGCGGGAGGAGTGAGGACAATCTTGACCCAGGAACCTTTTCCCCTGGAGGCTGGCTGGAAGGTCTCTCTCAGTGTGTCGGGCCCAAAGAAAAGAGGCTCTGCTGGGGGTTGATGTGGGGGTTTCAAAACTCCCAGAGCCGGCAAAGGTTTGTGTGCGCCCGTTCAATTAGCAGTCGAAGGAAAAGTTAGACCGGCCGAGGCGTTTAGTTCAGCCTCGGGGCTAGGGGAGGCAGGTCTGCGGCGCTGGAGCCTCCAGAGCAGGAGCACGGGCGGGCGGGCAGAGCCGTGGCCTCCGCTCCAGGCTTCTCTGCCGCTCCGAGCAAGGGTCGCGCCGGGGACAAACCCAAACCATGCTGGAATGCTCCAGGCGGCGAAGCAAACTAGGAGTTGGGCCAGTGAGGAAGCAGGAGCTGTTCTGGGTTGGGAAGGAGGGAGGAAGAAGAAGGAGAAAACTCGCCAACTTCAAAGGTCGGCGGGGGCTTAGGCGAGGTGAGCGCTCTTTGATTTGCTGTCACCTCATCTTCCCCTCCAGGCGCTGCAGATCGGCTCGTTACCTCCACTCCCCGAACCGCGGGCACCGCCGGGGCCTCCGCGCCCTCCTCTCGGTGCTCGGCCTACCCGCCGCCAAGTGACTGCGCGCGGGTCCGAGCCCGCTCTGTGCCCGGTGGGAGAACCCACCCACCTGGCATACTAACTTAGCCCTTCCTCGCCCGCCCCCAGGGGCAAAGACCTGGGGCTCGGTGGGAGGGAGGGGCGCTGGCCACCAGCGCTCGTGGGAGCCAACTTTCCGGGCTATCTGCCTGGTCTTGTTTCCCCCAACTCTCAATTTCTCCTCAGACTGTCGCCAGCCAGTGTCTCTTCAGACTGTCGCCAATGACTTTCCCGGGACGAAATTCGTTCGAAACGTGGCTCTTGACACTAGTACCTAGAATGGGCCCAAGGCACGATCGGGTTTCTGGCGATCAGCTAAGAGAAAAACACGGCCTCACACTCGCTCACCAGCCGAGAGGATGAGCTCCGCTCGCCCTGACCTCGGAACCCCAGTGTGAACGCTTTGGGTCTTTAAATGCCAGAGGGAGCCCCTCTCTCCAGGCCGGGCATCCATTCCGAGAGGAGCTGGGGCCTCCGGACCTCGGAGGTGCGGTTGAGGGTCCCGATTACAGGCAACAAATGCAATTCGCGCCGGGAAACCCGAGTCCCTGCGGTGGAGCGCCAGTCTCGGGTCTGCAGCCAGTCCTATGCCGGGCATTAATGAAGTGTGCCGAGTCTATTAAAGTGGTTTATTCGGGGCTAATTGAGCGTGTGCGACTTAACTACTTGCATTAATGAGGACGGAGCGAGCTCCAGGAGCTTGCGCCTGGAGGAGCCCAGCAGTAGTCCCAGAAAATCATCCTTGACATCAAATCCCCAACACAAGTGACAGGCGTCTGAACCCCAGGCGGGAGGTTTGACCACTTTCGTTGAATTTCCCAAACGAACAAGGAGGGAGATCAAACGAATCCCTCAGCTAGGCGGCCATCCTGCCGAATTTAAACACTCTTTGCGTCCTCAGTGATATGTTCCCCAATCTCAGTGGAACCACAGTTACTTCGAGGAGCTTCGGAGGGAACATCTATCCACTGGTCTCCCTCCACCCTTACACCGCTGCCCCTGCCAACCCTTCTCTTCTCTAGGAGGCTGTGAACCTGGGAAACTAGCCTTGCGTGTGGTTTCTGTTCCCAAGAGCCAGCACGCAGCTCTTAGCCTGGGTAAAATTTACCAAATTGTGGCAACAAAGAAACCTTCGTAAGCCGCTTTACACTCTGAGAGCCTTACCCGCTACTGCCAGAGCTGTTGAAAAGGTGCTGGGTATGAGTTTTCATTCTTATCAGAGACATTTCTGGGGAGAAATGAGTTCAGCAGGCCACCCCTCACCTCTGCCATTCACCTGTGTCTCCTACCTCTCCTAAAGGCTGGGTTTGGGGACAATCAGGGAAGCAAAGTAATCCTTCCCTCCCAAGCCACAGCCTGGAGACACCCGCTGCTCCATAATGTTTGTGCTACTGTGGCTGTGGGTCTGGAATTGGGAAGAAGTGCTCGCGCCCCCTGCACGCGCCGGGACAGTGGCGGGTTACACTCCAGGCCTTGATCACACAGAGCAACCCTCCCATAGAGAACACCCCAAGTCAGAGCGCAAGTGCGAGGCAGGTAAGGCACACGTCCCTGCGCTCCCAGGTCGAGCCCCCCTCAAACATGAGTGCAAGTACGCAAAAGGCATAAATTCGCCGGAAAGCGCGACCCGGGAGGGCCATGCACCTGTCCCAGGCGCGGCCGGCTTCAGCCGTGGCCACCCATCCACTCTCTTCCTTCTTCGTCTGCTAAGGCCATACTGCGCTAGGCGCGTATCTCAGGAAAGTTTTTGCCAGCTGAAGTTGCTTCGTTTCCTTAGAAGGGGGCCACAGGCTGACTTCCCATGTCCGTGGGCATCTCACCCCGGATTCCGCGGAATCTGGCCCCGCTGCGGGCAGATGAAAGCCCGCCCTCTCATTCCCTGGAGGTCAGAGGCTGGGGACCCCGCGCGGGAAGTCCCTTTGCCAGCACCCCCAATCACCCTGGGCTGCAGCGGCTCTCACTTTCACAACGGTCCTGCAGCCTTCGTTTGGCAAGAGGAGTTTCCTTCTAAGACACTGAGAGAGAGGAGACACCGACGCGCAGTGACGGGGAGCCCGGGAGTCCTGCCCGCACTCCCCTCGCCGTGCCGGGGCTCCCAGCAGTTACCTTGTTCCGCGGCGGTCCGGGGCTGAGCGTGTCTCTGGGGCTCCCGCTGCGGGGGACCCGGGAAGCCAGAGGCACTGGATTCCACAGGCACCCCCGGAGCTCTAGAGTCCTGGCCCCTCTCCGGCTGCGGGGACTCGGAGCGCCCGACACGCGGGAAGCGCTCAGCGGCCCCGGAGTTCTGCCCGCCCGGGACGGTGAGCCCCGTTCGCGGCTCCTTGGTTGGGACTGAACCGGGAGCAGCTGAGAATGTGCTGGGAAGAGACCGAGCTCAGACTCACTCATCCCTTAGCACCGAGCCGCCCACTTATTTTAATCCACCACCGTCCCTCCTCCTCTCTCCCTCCTCCCCTTGCCTCGGGATTCCACCCAGCCCTCCCCTGCCCTGCGCCTGCGCACTGAGAAACAAAGTTTTGCTGACCGGGGCAGCCAACTTTGGCAGCTGCGCTCGCTTAGCCCTGGCCTCCCGGGACCTGCGTTCCCAGCCCTTAAGTCCAGTGCGACCCCTTCTGTGTTGTTAGGCCCAGCAAGGCACCCCTGTCGCGCGGAGGAAACAGTCCCTAGCAGTTGGGAGCACGGGTCTCCTGGCGTTTCCAGGCTCCGCCTAGGGCACAGCCTGTGCCCAGTGGAAACGGGGATCGCACCGGCATCCCCCGCGCTGTAGCTCGGGTTCAAGACACTTTGGCCCCTGCCAGAGTCGCCTCACCTCCCAGAATCCCTTTCCAGAATCGGAGGGTCCCCGGTGTGGAGCAGCCCCTGGACATCCCAGAGCGTTTCGTCCCAGGGCAGTAACGCAGACCTCGGGTTATTACGTTTGGTAGAAATACCAGAAGCAAAGGCGGAGGGGAGGGGGAAGGAGGTAAAGTAAGTGATTTTCCTGAGACCCAGAACCTTCTGGGATTCCACCCTCAGGAACAGTTGCGCCTCTGATCGCTTGTTTTGGAAGGGTGGTCGGGAGTTTGGGAAGCGCGAGGGCAAGCGAGACAAACTGCAAAGTTCCTCAGCTACAGGACCTCGGAGTCCAAGGAGCTGGTTCGGATGGAGTTTGGGATCTAAGCGAGATCAGGGTCCTGGCTGCGAGAAATTCTGTTTTCACTGTTTATGCCTTAGGGAGAGTACCATTACTACCCTCTCCACTGCTCAATTCTAGGAGCTGACCTTCAGCTGACCCCAGCCCTGACTCCTCCCTCCTACCTCCCTGAAACACTCAGCCCTGGATTTGGGAGAAGGTGCCAGTTCCCCAGGGAGTTTGGTGGTCCAGATTCACATAGTGCACTCCTGGAGTTTGCCACAAGGTCGCTGCTGAGTGTCTCTTCCTAGCCCTTGGAGCTGGATCCCGGCATGAGTGAGTCTACAGCATATTGGTACTGTGTTTCTGGAGAGGAGCTGCCACTATCTTGAGCTTTGGTTTGCAAGTTTCTAGGGCATCACTCCCTGACCTAGGAAAATGGTAGTGGAATGGCCCCTAAAAGGTAGAGCTGGAGGAGACCCTTGTCTTATCAGCAGGCCTTTAGAACAGAGCCTGCCTTCCAGCCCCAGGGTAACTTTGGCTTGAGCAGGAGGAGGAAGATGTCTTTGCACTAAGGGATTGCACTCACCCCCTGCCACAGCTTAATGCTGGAACAAGGGACCCACATAAGTCTGTAGCTGGAATCCTCGGAGCTGCCAGTCAGGGGCTACATTCTGGCCAGGGCCAGGACCCTTGACAACAGAAGGGGGCTGAGATCACTCTCTTCCCTGAGACTGCAAGGTAGCAAGTTCCAAGAGCAAGGGAGGGCTTGGATTCAGGGGGCATTCCTAGATTATATTGACGTCCACCTTGAGCAAGGGAATTTTCTTGGGGTTCTCCTAGGAGGCAAAGCTCTGGGGACCTCCGTTAGCAGAGGTGAAAGAATCAAAGGGAGGTCTCCACAGCAGGACACCTGGCTGTCCAGACAGTTTAGAAGAAGTTCCTTAGGAAGAGGATATCCAGGTGGGATGGAGCATCCTGGGGCATATGAATCCATTTCCTGCTCAAAATTCCACACGGGGCAACTGAGCTTCCTTAGTCTGTCCACTTGCCTTTTTCTTCTGAATCCTGCAAGGCCCTTGGCCAACATACCTCAAAGATGGCTAGAAAACGTCAAGTAGGGGTCCCTAAAGAGCTATTGCGGAGAGAATCTTTAGAGATAGAATGAAAGGGCCATGCGACCTGATTATTTAATGCTGCGTTTACCAGTTTCTCTGGAAAACTGATCCTGACTCAAGCCAAATCCTGGAACTTAACCCATGTGGGGCAGGATGGGGAGACAAGGTTAGGGCTGGCCCCATGGCCCAGCATCTTCAGAGGAGTCCTGGCTGCCTTGTCTGGGGCTGGTCTGCGGGGTAGCAGGACAGGTGGGCATGTTTCAGACACCTGGTTTCCACATCGCTCCTCCTAGGTGTCCCACACTGCACATGCCCAGAAATCCGGGATAACGAAGTTCAACATTTGCTAGTTGCTGAGGTGTTCTCCAATCCACGCTCCCAAGCGGGTGACCCCCAAACCGTAGCCTGTGTCCACTGGAGGCCAACTAGGCTCCGGTTTCTGAGGTAGCTGGAAGAAGCTGGGAAGCTGGGAGCCCCCTTGCCGCAACAGGGGGAAACCCTCCCCCGCCGATTTAAGGGAAATTAATCAGGCCCTAGGCAGGGGGGTCTCGGTCGCAGCGCTGTGCCTGCACTGCGCGGCTTGGATGCATTGAAGAGGGCAGGACCCGGGACCCATTAGGGCGATGAGGGTAATTTTTAGTGAAGCCTTAGGCGTTTAGGACTCGAAAGGACGTCAGGTTTCGAATTTGGTAAACGTCCTCGGTAGTTCAGACCCAACCGTTCTACGGCCGGGGAACCCGGTAAATGTGGCGAAACTCCGGGCTGCGTCCATCCCTTTCGTCCATCCCTTTCCAGGGCTTCCGCGCACTCCAGCACCCGCGCGGCTGCAGCCCAGCAGACCCGGTGCAAACTCCCACCGGCTCGTTCTGCCACTCCCGCCACAGCCCGCGGCACCGACCCTGAGGGGTCCCAGACTCCGCAGGGACCTGCAGCCTTGGACAAGGGTCCCCACGTTAGCGACCAGGCCTCCAGGTCCAGGTTATACCCCTCACCCCCAGTGCTGGTGGGGTCCGGCCGGAGCGATTGCTGAGCGGCACCAGCCTCCGGGTCATTGACCACACTGTGCCCGGTCCAGAAGCAAGCCGTCCGCTGCCTTTTCCCGGGCACACTTGGGGTGCTGACAGCTTCTGCTGGTCTCCCTGCCCCAACCCCAGCCCCTCTCCTGACTCCTCGTCGCTGGGAAGGAAAAGTGCCCCAGCCTATGTTTGGAGTGAAAATTGAGCAGCTTCCAGAAAATTAACTAGAACGGGGACTATATTGTTTTAAGGTCTTGTGGATTAAAAATGAACTCCAACTCTCCCCACTTTCTACCACACAAAAATGATCTCTCTCTCTCTCTCTCTCTCTCTCTCTCTCTTAATGGAATTTACTTAGCACTTGCGAATTCTTTCTTCCAATGCAAGTTTTCCGTAACTGCACTGCGGACAATTGGGGGGGTCCGCTCATTAGACCCCCCTTTATGCATGTACTGAGGTTTCAAATAACCCGGAGATTTAGGTATCCCTCTGTAATCATTTACATGATGGATTGTAATGGCTCAATAGTTCCTCTGGAACCATTACGATCAATCAGGTCAAAATCCAGCTTTGGGGAAAAGTGTTTAAGCACGGGAGGTAGGTAACATAACATCCACGCACACTTGTGCAGATAACACGCTCTGATAACGCACAAGCAACTCCAGGCTCTTAGGAGAATAAATCCCAGGTGAACGCAGGAGCGGTGTTTACTGTGACAGCCAGAGACGAGTTACAGTATCAAAACTGAAAGGGAAAGTGAACTGTTTCTCCAGGCAGTTCCCGTTTCGTAAGTTCTTTATAAGCACATAAGTATCTTGTAACTATTTGTCACCTTAGTAAATGTAACCATGCGCACACGAATGCATCTCTCCTTGGTTTATGAGAAGACCAGGTATGAAGCACGAATGTGCGCGTGGAACTGCGTGAACTCTGGGCATCTATCGCCGGGAAAATGATAAATATGTTGCGAGGAGCAAATGTAAAACGTGTGTAAAAGGCGTGGCGAGTTTTTACTTTTTGTACAAATATGAGTTGTCGAAATTATTGTCGACGCATAATAAATCTGTGTTCTGAGATTACTAGACGTTTCCTGTATTCGAAGGGGAAAACAACTGTATTAGAAAGGACGCAGTGTCTAACCACACTGAGGATGATGAAGAAAAGTCAGTGTAGGGGAATCGTGTGCAGTTGGGCTGCAACCCTGCGGAGAGAACCTTACCGCGCCCGCGGCGCTATGTTCCTGGAGGGCTACGTCGGCCCGCGGTCGGCGCTGGAAAAATGAGCATTCGCGGTAATTAAACATTTCCAGACACGGGAGGGTTATTATCTGCAGGGCGATTTCCGGAGAGAGGACTCGGGCTGTTTGATCCACCTTCGGAGACCCAATCCTGAAGAAAACGCGCCACCTGCTGGTGAGCAAGGGACATCTCCCGGTGCTCGTTCCTCGCAGTCTCAAGTCCACTTATCCCTCTTTAATCTCACCTGAGTGGTTTTGTTGTTAAAAAACGTTCTGCTCTACGTTACGCAATTTGTCTTTACTCGCGTAAAGCTATGCACACTCTTGTCTTTCCAAAGAGGAAGCAAAAGAGGAATTCCCTTTTGCCACGCGGTTTCTGTTTTCCTGCTCCAATCCAGATTCGTGTTTGTTTGTTTTTTCTTCTTTTTTAAAAATCCGATATCCTTAGCAACGATCTACCACCATTAGTTCTGGTCCTTGGAATAACAGAGAGCCAGGAGCTAGTGTGAAACTTCTCTGTACTCTGAGCTGGGTTAGAGCCCCGCCCAGGTAACACCCAGAGGCAGGATGGCCAGGCCCCCTGCCTGCTGGCCCCTCTGCCCTCGTGCTGGTCTGCACTGTGCCCCTCCGCGGATTCCCACTGCGTTTTCTGAAGAACCGTAGGAATGGAGGGAGTCTCCTATG